CCCCAAAACCCCAAAACCCCAAAACCCCATAAAATCGATTTCTATATAGTTTTTAAATTTTCAAATCGGATATAATATAAAATGAATAATAATTTTAGAAAGCCAAATGAAGTCATGAGCACCATCAATTAGCTTGATCGTCTGGCTTGTAAATAAATGATCAATTATAATGATACTAATTATAGAACTTGACTTGAGAAATGTAAACGTCTAGGATTTATTGGATGACAATAAGCTGAATAATATCTTAGCTGGAAATGGCAATTTGAACAGCTATTAATAGCAGAATTATAATGCGAATTAGTATCAGAATCAGCAAAATGTGGGAGGTAGAATCAATTCCCAAAGATAATTAGGGTAATAGCAGCAGCAATAACTAGCAAATTACCCATTAATGTAATAATAGCAGAACTACATAGGCAACAATAACTCCTAACAGCAGCCAATCTAAATACCTAAGTCAAGTCTATCTTAGTAAGTTTACATTAGACTATGGAATGAATTTTAATATTCTGTTCTAGATAGTAATATTAACAGCAAGTAAGAAATATGTAATCGTAACAAGAATTAAGAGATGCTGCTCAAGACTTTAGAGTACCCCCAAGGCCAAAGAAGTAAAAAAAGGATAAATTAAAAAATACTTAGAAAAAGTAAAATATTTGATAAGTAACTCTAATTTCTAATTTTAGTATTGCTGATATCCCCAAGCCCCCATCTCAAAATTAGAATAATAAAAGAAACCCACAAGTCTATTAATCTTAGCAGCCGCCAAAGAACAGTAACAATGGAAATATGGATCAATAGTAGATTAATGAGAAGCCAATATATTTCTTGGGGGCTGATATGAACGAAAAAGATCCAAACTTTGACCCAGCTGTACAAGAGGACTTGATAGATGATGAAACATTGAAGAAAATTGAGGAATTCAAGTAGAAATACCTTGAAATGAAGAGTAAAGCTGAGGATGCAGAGTAGGATTTGGCTTACTCTGCTATAAAAGTTGATGAGATAGTTCAAAAAATAAAGGACCTTGAGTAAACTTAATTATCCAATATTAACATGTTGATTTTAGAGCGAAGAAAAATGAATTCAAAGATGAGCTTGTGAATGAGACTAGATAAAATGCAGAGTTGAGAAGAAAATTAGCTGACTTAGAAGATGATAAGATCACACTAGAGCAGTAATTAGAAACAGGCTTTAAGCCTTCTCGTGTGACTAAGTTAAAAGAGGTTAATCTTTAGAAGCATAAGCAATTGATGGAGGAGAAAGCTAGACGTGAAAGAGAGTCAATGAAGAAATAGGTGCTGATTGGTATTGATTTTGTGGGCTAGAAAGATGATCTCAAGGTACTGATTGCATCATAAAAAGGAAAGTGCAGGGCTTGTTTTGAAAGACTTAAATTGATGATTCATAAACTTACACCTTTGCTTAAAGACATCACCAATATATCAGTAAGTTCTTAGATTATGCAATTAATACTCTAATTCAGATCAACTATGATAAATCTATCGAAGGGTTCTTTATTTTTTACAGATTCTTAGTTAACATTAGGTAAATCTATATATTAAAATAATTTTAGCTTCTTTGTGCTATTGCTCTACTTGCTTTTACTCATTAATCATGTTGTTAATTTTGAGTACAACTATACTGCGATGTGCAATACAGGGATTTTCAAGCTACCTTGCTTTACGTTTTACTCTCGCTTTCACAAGGATCAATAGTTTTATTATTCGCTGACATTGGAGCTGTTCGTACTTATTGGTATTTTTATGTGCCTGTTCAAGTGGGTTCAATTCGATTTAATAAAGAAAGAGAGAAGCTTGTATGAAGATTCCAAGAAAAAGTTCTCGAGGCTATTCTTTAATATGTGGGATTGGTCTACTAATAATAACTATGAGAGTCATCAATTGAGAAATGCAGTTCGGTTGGATATAAAGATTCATTTAGATGAAGATAAAATCAAAGAGCACATCAAGAAGAGAAAGCCATTTGAAACCACTAAACTTTTCATAAGAAGAATCATTACACTTGCCATTTCAGTTCTGATTTTGATCACTGGTTGGGGTTTAATCGTAATGGTCAATCTCTATGATGATGACATTACTGCATATATTAAAGGCTTCAATATTATCAAGTATATAGCCTCGTTCTTTTCATCTGTGTGCCTCTCTATTATAAATATAGTAGTACCTATCATGATTAAAAAGATTACCAACTTAGAAGCTTGGGATTTTCAAGATTAATTGATTAAACAATAAGTTTGGAGGATGTATCTGGCAAAGATTATCAATTTTTCGATTTTTGTTAGTATAAATCTGGAGTTGGTTTCATCAACTACTTGGTTTAGAAATACTTCAGTTACTAATTTTAACGAGAATGGACAGAATTTCGATTGTAAAGAAGACCAAGTTGCTATTAATTTTCTAAAATTAGTAATTAATCATTCTTTAATCCTGCTTTATAGCTTATTACTGAACTTGTTTTGAAAATGATCATTCCCTTTTTAAAAGCACTTGGTGAAAGATTTTACTTTGGTTTAATGAAAGGGAGAAGATAATGGCAGCCTGAATACCTTCTCTCAGATGATATTGTGTGGCTTCTCTATTTCTAAGCAATTATATGGGTCACCTTGATTTATTATCCATTTATTGCTCTTGTTACTCCTATAATCCTGTATGTGATGTTTAAGCATTGCTATTTTGTTTTGAGAAAGTTTAAATCTAAGCCAAAGAAGTCTTCAAATGCCAATGTAAGATATTAATGATATATAACCAAAATAGGATACTGGATTTTTCATAATGATATTCTTGAATATAACTTTCTTTTCTATAAGCGGAGTGATAGTCTTGTTTATGGCAATGGGCATCTAGCATTAACAGTGGATAAGTGTAATAATATTGCTATTTTTGATAATAATTAGGATTCAAAGCAACTGTGTGGACCATATCCTTCAGGAATATATGGATAATACAGTATAGAATAGTAGATAAATAGAAGTGAAATAGCTAGCTATATCTATGAAATTGTGAAATTTTATCCATTCCTTTGGCTTGGTGGAATATTGCTTTTGACTTTGATGCTTTTCAAAAGAAATCATTCAAATTTACTTAAAGATTTTGTCGCAAATAAAGATTATGTACGATTATTTGTGATTATTAAACTTGATAATTTAGGAATACTAATTGTAAATCGAAGAGTTGCAAAAAAGTATAACTAAACTCCAAAGGAAGATTGATTATAATAAGATGGCTTAGTTATGATATTTAGAGTTTCATTTTATTTTTATTATGCCTTTCCAAAAATAAAATTGAGCATTAAGGGGTTTTGGGGTTTTGGGGTTTTGGGG